AACAAATTAGGCGAGCGTGGGGACAGAGAGAAATATAAAAGAAGAAGAATACAGTAGAATAATAATAAGAAAGAAGAAGAAGAGGAAAATAAGAAGAGGACGAAGAAAAGGAACAATCCAAAGTTCCAAATCTACCAATTTAATTTTACAAACGCTTTATGAAAATTGATTTTCTAAGTGCTCGTGTAGGGTAGTTCATGTGCTTCATTTTCCATGGATAATCAACCCCAGGGATAAAAAAGTTCAGGCGAGCGTGCGGACAGATAGAACTATAAAAGAAGAAGAGGAAAGCATAATAATAATAATAAGAAGAACACTGCTCGTTTCGTTTGAGTCTGCCTCCCAAAATTATTGGTTTCGCTTGACACATCCTGAAAAGCGTGATCGCTTCGCTTGATGTTGCTATATCAACATCGCTTGATGTGGCTATCTCAACATAGCGTTTCGAGGTGATGATGAAGTTCGGCCTCAGCGCTCGCCGCCCAATTTGAATTTTGTATAGGGCGACGATAAGCAACTCTAAACACTGAAGGGGGGGTCCCTTTATTATCATCGGCATGCGGTTACTGCTACTACTACTACTACTAAAACTACTACTACTACTACTAATACTACTACTACTACTACTACTACTACTACTACTACTACTACTACTACTTCTACTACTACTACTACTACGACTACTACTACTACTACTAATAATTCTACTACTACTACTACTACTACTACTACTACTACTACTACTACTACGACTACTACCACCACTACTACTACTACTACTACTACTACTACTGCTACTGCTACTGCTACTGCTACTACTACTACTACTACTACTACTATTACTACGACGACGACGACGACGACGACGACGACGACGACGACGACGACGACGACGACGACGACGACTACTACTACTACTACTACTACTAGTACTACTAGCACTAGTAGTACTACTAGTACTACTAGTACGAGTACTACTACTACTACTACTACTACTACTACTACTACTACTACTACTACTACTACTACTACTTCTACTACTACTACTACCACTACGAAGCAGGATAATAATATTATACAACTAGAAGAGGAAGAGGAGGAGGAGGAGAGGAAGGAGGAGGAAGAGGACGAGGAATAGGAGGAGCAGGAGGAGGAGGGAGGAGGGAGGAGGGAGACGTGAGGAGAGAGAAGGAGGAGCAGGAGGAGGAGGAGGAGGAGGCGGAAGAGGAGGAAGAGGCGGAGGAGGGAGGAGGTGGGTGAGGAGGGATGGGCAGATAGAGGACCAGTGTAAACCCAAGACTCATCAACGGCGTTGGAATACACACTCCCTCCAAGCTCTTTCAACATAGGCCCCTACAGGGATTCATTGCCACTGAGGGAAGTGCCCCGTTGGGAGACAACCGTTTGAAAATCCAACAGCGTGCCAAAACACCAGTTTCGGGACTTCAACGCCACGAGTCAACCTGATTGTTGCGTCTTGACGATCATGCATCGTGCCAGAACGCGAGAGCCACATTTTGAAAACAGCCCGTCCTCAAAGTATGGAACTTTTGGCTATTATTTAACTCGAGTGTGCGCGGTGCAAAGGCGATAGCCACATGTTGAATTCGTCCTGGCCTCAATCCGCAGAGCTCCTGCAATGTTTAAAACAAATATGCGTGGCGCTCAGGCGAGAGCCACATTTTGACAACGGCCCGTCCTCAATCCGCGAAGCCCTGGCAACTTTTTAAGACGAATTCGCGCGGCGTTCACGCGAGAGCCACATTTTGAAAACGACCTGCCCTCAACATTAAAAACTCTTGCAGTTTTGTTAGACGGAAGTGCGCGGCACTAAGGCGAGAGCCACATTTTGAAAACCACCTGTCCTCAGTCCGCGAATCGGTTGCCAATTTCTCATGCTCCAGGATCATCAATGGTGACGAAGTCCCAGGCGAAACGTCCAGCCTGCCCTTTCCGACCGGCCTCGGGGTGCGACAGGGGGCAGTTATTCATCAGGAAAAGGAATGGAAGAAGAGGAGGAGAAGGATGATGATGATGATGATGATGAGGATGAGGATGAGGATGAGGATGAGGATGAGGATGAGGATGAGGATGAGGATGAGGATGAGGATGAGGATGAGGATGAGGATGAGGATGAGGATGAGGATGATGAGGAGGAGGAGGAGGAGGAGGAGGAGGAAGACCCCCCAGGGCGGCAGCGTCTGTCTGACGGGCTCCAGTGCCATCAGCGCCAGCGTTAGGAGCAGCCTCTTCTGCGGAGTGCTGCACGCCGCAGTGGCGGACCTCTTCAACCGCGCCCTGTCGAGCCACGTGTGGCGCCACGGGTTCCAGCCCGACCCTTTCGGGGCCACGCCGGGTGGGCGGCTTCGCGAGCTGCTGCGAGGCGGGTCCGTGGTCCAAACTGTCGAGGCCATCACGGCGCTGTGCCCCGGTGCCGGGGGCTTCGCCGCCGAGGCCGTGCCCTTGGACGCCCTCGTGGATACGCTCGGCGGCTGACGCGGGGTCGGCGATTACGGAGGGTGTGGTTACGCCCGGGTGTGGTTTGCGATCGGCGCCGTTGGTCAAGCAGTGGCGAAGCGTGCTGGCTTGCGTATAGTCCCACCAATGAGTGTTCTAAGACCTTCTTATGGTCTGCACGGCATGTTCTTAGAACCTTTCTGGCTGATACTGTTTTGTTTTAGTATATTGGCTTCATGTTCTAGGAACATTACTTGTGTTCTTGGAGCGCTCGTTTGCTCCCAGACTATGTCGTGGTAGGCTTAAAGGAATGACGGGACGGTCGCTCCCTGCTCAAGTTGGGGCCTGGTGGGCACGACGCTGTCCTCGTCAGGCCTCCCCAGGGCGCGGCGAAGGACTCTGCCCAGGCCCCCGCCCCCCCCGCCCCCCTTGGGGCGTCCCCCCCGGGGTGCCGGCTGCCAAGCGTACCCTTTGCAATCCACGCCTTTCGGAGTCGCCGATGGGGTCTCGGCGCTCCGCCCGTGGGCGGCCGACCTGGGGCTCCGAGCTGGCCGCGTGGGTAACAGAGGGCCCTTGCTCCAGCCATCCTCCCAGTTTCCCTTCTCTTCCTCCTTCGCTTCCTCCTCCACCTCCTCCTCCTCCTCCTCCTCCTTTTCTTCCTCGTTGTCCTTGTCTTCTCTTTGCCGAAGAGCCAACAAAAACGCACAAACAAATGTTCTTGGAGTTTCGCGCGTGTTCTTGGGATCGGCGCTTGGCCGTCCCGCGCGCCAGGGAGGGGGTCCAGCGCCGATCCAAGAAATCCACACGGACCTACCAGAAATCATGTTTACGGGTGTGTTTGCTCCTCGATTCTCTTCCTCGTCCTCCTCCTCCTCAGGCTAAGGCTAAAGCTAAGGGTGCGGAGTGTGTTGTCGAGGGCGACTGAAACCTTCGACGCGCCCGTTTTCCTGCGTCCCTCGCCCATCCGACAGAGCTACGTAGATGGGGGGTGAGGGCGAGAGCGCGTATCAAACGCGGTCTGGAGCTCTAGCCATAAGGGGGCGTCCTTCCTCTCTCCCTACGACCCCGGCCGCGGCCTCCTGGTGTGTATGTGTGGATATCATATCTTCGTTGTGCACTCCCCTCCTCCTCCTCCTCTACCTGTGATCTCCTGCGATTCGCCAGATTACAGAAGGGCGCGCTTCGATCGGCGCGTACATGTCGACGCGCCGCAAGGGAGCGCATTTGGGTCGGCGCGCTCCAACATGCCGATTATGGCGGCGGCGCTCGCATCTTTTAGCGGCGCTGGCAGGGCCCAGCATCGGCTCGCAGCCCTGTTGTCGCAAGCGCTTTGCGGCGCTTTGACACGCCCCGCCGGTTTGTCACAAAAGCACACGGCGGTGCTCTCGGATGTTTGCCGTGCTCAAAGGGGTGCTGTGGTGTTCTCGGCGTGTTGCGGTGATGGCGAAGTCTTTCGTCGCATCGGCGTATCGTGGTGCTCTCAGGCGTGGCACAGGATTTGCAGATCATCGTGGTGCCGTGATCAAGTTTGCCGCGCTGTACGTTGCGAGAGCCTTTTGAATCATTTCATTTCCGACGGTTCTAATGAGCTATGATTAACCGGCTGTTCAATCATGCGTGTTGTTTGCGACTGTGCCCAGGGTAGTGTGTTCTGTTACAGTATCGCATCGTCCAACTTCCACTTGCTAGGTGATTGTTTCAAATTGGTGTGGGCGTTCTAATGGACGCTTCATTTTTTCTGAGCCAATGCTGCGACGGATCTCTGGTCCAAGCACGGTTCGTTTTTTGGCAATGGAAAGCGATCCGCATTTGGTCAGTTCATTGCCATCGCGAAGGATCGATGTGTTTTTTTTGTTGGTTGCCGGGGTCGCGATCTCTTTTTCTGAGTCCCAAGCTCCCACTTAAAGCGTTCCGATAGATCCTGAAGTTGGGTTGTCACCCCCTTCACAATCACGCCATGTATTTCATGACGCCTGTATTTTTTTCGCAACCCGAAGGGGCCAATGACACCTGGTTACGATCGGTAACAAGTAGTTGAGGTCGGTCCCATGTGGTTGCGATCGGGTGCCACCCCCCTCCCCCTCCCTCTCCCCTTCCTAGTCCTCTTTGTCCTCGCCTAACCCCTCCCTTTTCCTCCTTCTCCCCCTCCCCTGACTTCAACGCCACGAATCAACCAGGCTATCCTGAATCCTGCTGGAGCACCATTTCCAGGACTTCAACACTGCGGATTAACGTAACTGTTGGGCAGTCCTGCATCGTTCCAACACATCATTTCTCGTACGTTAACAAATGGAACCCGTGAAACTCTTGCAAGCGTTTAGGACGAGTGCGCGCGGCGCTAAGGCGAGAGACACATTTTGAAAACGGACTGCCCTCAATCCGTGAAGCTTTTGCAAATATGCAAGACGAGTGTGCGTGGCGTTGAGGCGAGACACACATGATTATAAGGATATGAGCCGCCCTCGATGAGCGAAACTTTCGCAAATCTTGAAGACGAGTGCGTGCGGCGCTAAGACAACTTTGTGCAATGAATGTGCGCGGCG